CTGTTTGCTATTCAAGGCCGGGGTTTCAATAGATTTCATTATGTTTAATAACTGTCTGGTATGTGTACGGCATACTAGGTTGTTACCATGTGGTACGAAGAGCGTAGCCAGCGCAAAGTTTTTTTGGGGAAAACCATTTTTTGTATAATGACGTAATACGACGCTTACTCGTGCCTTTTGCTCCAAACAAGGCTAGACAAGGCAGCCACTGATATCTAACTATTTGTTGAGGAATCTCTATAGGGACTTACTTTGCTGTCGAATTTATCTAAAGTATACAATCGCGCATTTTCGTATCGGTTCTTTCATTTGGTGAAGGGATAATTGATAGCAAGCGAGGAAAAGTCAGTTCTTAGTAAATCGTTCAAGAATAGAGTAGGATGGTGTTGGAAAAGGCGTAAGAATTTATGTCTGACTGCAAATGCCGCAAAATTGCATTTTCCCCCAGCTTACGTCAATGTGTGATACTCCATGCAACGCACTTCAGATGATAAAATCCATTAAGTGTTAATTTCGAATCGATTTAAAAAAAATTCGTTGAAGATATCAGTGCGCAAGAGCAGGAATGTATAATAGAATCTCGAGGTATTGTGACGCTACATAATTTTGTTTGCCTACTTTCCATCAAGTTGTTTAAAAGAACTGAAGCCTATATGGACAGGTGGTGTATTAACTTGGCTAACACACACAGTCCCGGAACTCGTGATAGAACTAAAATGAGGAAAATCGGAATAAAACTGTGGCCTGATACACATACTACGGGAGTACCGCAAAAGGATCATATATTAGTGCAAAGGCGCAGAAATGTATACGAAAATCCCGACCTATTGTTATTTATATAATGATAAATATTATTTTTCAAAATAGAGCGAATGTTCAAAATATTATCACAAGAAACTCATGCCAGAACATCAATCAACACGTTTCCAGCCATTGAATTATTACGAATAACAATGGGTTATTGTTGCGTCACTATATACCTATGACCACACAATGACACGATCTGTATTTGAGTAAGAAGACGGTAATTTAAGTCAATAGTAATGTACTGATACTATTAGTAAATAGAACGAACAGGAAAGATTTCGGTAATGAATGGTAACTCATTACGTATGAGTGCGATACCCAAATTGTGAAATACACCAGAAATTAAGGTTTGACTATGGACTTATATTTCGCTAGGTAGATAATACTCTCGTTCCGGGCAACGGCCTATAGCTTTGCTATATATATTTCACCTCTGTTCAAGTATCTATTTATCGCCAAACCACATGTTATAGACCTCGCCTGGGAACATGAATGGATATACTTTCGCTACACAAGAATGTGTACTTATTATATTCAATAAAAGTTAATGTTTCACTCGGTCGTCGTATATTATAGCACATCTACTCAGAATACACTCTATTGGAGAAAATTAATGTGAATTTTTATCCATTTAGGTGATTTCGATATTTTTAAATTCAGGCAATACTTAGCATGCAGCTATCACAGCCAACTCCTCATTGCCTACCGTAAACCATAACAGAAAAAGTAGCCACAACCAGCCATTTGTTCAAGTTATCTTATCGGCTTGCAAAAACCCTCACATTAATATAAAAGTATTATTTTATTGCCTTTCTTACGCCTTCCTTAGATGATTTGATTTTCCGAACTTTTACATGTTATGGCATGAACTGCGAGCTTATTAGCCTGCGTTAAACATTGTGCAGTTGGCGATGCTTTTATTGTTTGATACCACAAAAGCCTACTCAATGTACTAAAGTTAAATTTGATAAGTATAATGCGGAGTTGTGAATATTCCGCTCTTTCCAAAAAAACTATTAATGTATCGTGCCTTCCTATCTAAAGTTTTATTCGTTGCAAAATTGCGTGGTTGAAAAAAACATGAAATAGATTTTGCTAAGTGTCAATTGAGTCACACCCGCGAGGCTGTGGCCGATACTTCAAGATAGGCATTGACGTCTGGATAACAATAACGGCTACAGCACTCGAAATTTCAAGGCGGACAAAAACAACACTCGAAGAATTTGTTTGATTTTCTTCAGAAGGTTTTCATTGTGAAAGAGACCACAGATGGTTTGAAGCGTTTGATACTCAAACACTTTATTGAATTTTTTGCCCGGTGAAAGCGTTGTACTTGACTATAGATTAGGGATGGACAACCCCCCAGGACAGGCGAGCCATGTGAGTGTGGCATAAAAAGTTACATTTTATGAAGAATATTCACAATGTTACAAAAGCAAAAGTGGAAAACATTCAAATATGCCTCGTGCCAAAGCTAAATTTAAATGCAATCTCAACAAATTCCTTGAGCAGGGTGGTCGCTGAAAAGCAGAAAATTTGTCAAACAGCTATTCATTTAACAAGGAATAACTTTCACAAACTTTTTTAAAAGCATATGTTGTATCACACAGAATATTACAGAAATCCTAAAACAACCTAGAACCTAGAAGAAATCAAAACACAGCGAAAAAAAATGAGTAAGCACGCATTTTTTCGTGATCTCATCTGACCTTAGAATTTTCTGCTTTTCTAGCGATCACCTGTATATTAATTCTTTACATAGCAGCCGCGGCGTGCCCAATGCGTTGTTCTGAGCGAAATGCGTGTAAATACGTGTTATAATAAAAAATTTCTCATGGTTTATTTAGACAAAATTTTATTCAGCAGTAAAGGCTTGTCATGGCGGCGAGTGAGTTCACGAGTTAAAAATGAGTAGACAGGTGGACGGGTGATTTTATGAGTCGTACAAATTTAATTTTGAGTTGAAATAAGTAGACGAGGCTAAAACAAAGACTGAACAAATAACGAAGAGATTTTATTCATGGCGAAAAAGGAAAAAAAAATATGCAAAGGGAGAAACTTATCGAAAAGACTGTTATAAAGAATGTCTGAAACGGAACATGTATAACATTGCTAACGTTGCTACAGTTTGATTATACAGTATACTTTATTTGGTTAGAAATTTATCGATAGCGAGCCTATTCAAATTTCCTTATTATCAACAAATCCTGCATAAGAGATGCATAAATCTTGCTGCACACTAACACGAATTTATCCCTGTAACGTTTCGTCTGACCAACGTCAGACTTCCTCTGACAATGACACACATTATTTAAGTACCAGTTAGTGTACAGCAAGACTCTTGAATTACGCAGAATAGTTCTCTTTACTCTTTTGCTAAGCATCCTTACTAAGGCATACGGAGCAACGGCACATAAGCATAAAAAAAGGTTAAGTAGTTAGTCTTGCAATCGTAAGCATACGATGATCTTTCATGTTCGGCTACGCGTATTATGCACCCCTAAGGGCCTAACCCTAACCTGATACACGCACTACGGGAATACCTCCCTAAGTGGGTTTAGACCAAGAATTCTATCATATATAGTTACCTTAACACGAAAGTTATTTAACAAGGATGCAATATCAATTAGTTAATGATGTTAGAGTAATTGGACGTTTTTATTCGCCCTGGTAATAGATTGGCACATTCCTAAAGAGGGAGCTCACAATTACTTGGCGCACAAGTTCAAAATTACTACCCAGAGATAACAGCAGTGGTGGGATTCAGCCGGTTCGCACCGGTTTTATGGTGCTCCAGAAGTATGCGCACCAAGATGTCGCACAATCTGAATTCTAACCGGTACACACCTACTATGTTAAGGTTGTGCGCCATCTTGGTGCGCATACTTATGGAGGTCAGGTTCTGTCGAACCGTCTCACGGAATTTTATGAGATCAGCGAACCGGTTAGCATTACTGAAAAAACACGAGTTTTTGTAACAGAACCGGCTGAAAAATATGACTATTGTGATGGAACCGGCTGAACAAAAAATTCGAATCCCACCACTGGATGACTGTATTATATTCTGATATAGGATTCACATATTTATCTCGGGGGAAAAGAAAGCCGATAAGACGGTTCAATTATATGGAAAACCACAGCCTCTAGTCCGACTACCAGCCCATGTCGGGTATTGGATTATTTAGCCAGTTATGTGTTTTCAGAAGCATGGACTTGATGGAGGGTGAGGCCGTAACCGACTAGCGGTTACGTGAACCACCCTTCATAATTATGTACCCATATGTAGTTTATGTACTGACTGGAAAGTTCGTGAGAGAACTGCTAATTTAATAATAAAAAGTCGAATAAAGTAACTGCTATTCATTTAATAACGTACTGGAATACTTCCCTGTAAAAGGTCGTTGTTGTATTACACTTAATAACCATTATTTAATTAGTCATTTTGACGTATTTGGATTGTTTCAAAATGCTCTTAAACCCTATTGAAACAACTTCATACGCGTCAACATTAGTTAATCTTTAATTGAGTATCCTTCGTGTTAGAATAGAAAGCAGATTCACTTTTAGATTTAAGCAAAGCCGAAACGCGAAAGAGATAGGTAACTCAAACTTATAACTCAGAATAATTTTCGAAGTTTTGGAGCTAGCGCAATGATTAATTACATCTGCTCATACTTTGGATATACGTATGTTATACAGAAGTGGTTAATTGGAGTTTTTCAATAATCAACTCTGGCTCCCCTCGTTTTTTTTTTCTTAGTAAAATTGTGTGTTCAACCTTTTCTCGCAATTTCGTATGCCGTTTTTCTATTTTACTAGTTGAAAAAAATGAACTTGATCCGGAAGTAGAAGTAAAAAGTGGCAAAGCGTTATGACTGTATGTATCTGTATCATTTCAAATTAGTTGACGGTGTATTTTTTAAACCACTTTCATTCACGATTTTAGCTCTGAACAAAGCCCTGTATAGGTATCCACCGATATCTAATGATATGTAAGTAGCTTTTGTTTATGAACATTTTTTTCAAGAGTTTTCCGGTGCGGCGTTTTAAACTTAACTCATTACACTACGGGTGAGATGATAGGTTAGTTAGATGTTCAAACCCGAGACGTGATGCCTGTGATGTTAACACATTTAATCAATATTTTAGGTATTTTCAAACCTTCATTTTTCTTTATTTCCATATGTTAGCTATATTACAAATTAACTATAGAAATATTCATCAAAATGCCAGACGATTTAGAACTCGACGAACTAACCGATGACCAGCTTGCAGAATTTAAAAAACAATTTGATAATTTTGACTTCCGGAAAGAAGGAGCTATTATGACCTCTGACCTCGGCACAGTACTGAGAGCTTGTGGTCAAGTTCCAACAGAAGCTTGGTTGAGGGAAAGATCTAAAGTAAGTTTGGAATACTAATTAACAACTAATTACTAATTAATTCAAGTTACTGAACAAGCTTTTGGACCAGGGGCCAAAACTTTTGCCCGCCTAGACTGGCGGGCCATGTAAGTGTGACGCAAAAGTTACATTTCATGAACGATATTTACAATGTTACAAAAGCACAAGTGGAAAACAATAAGTCTCGCGCCAGAACTAAATTTAATTTCAATCTCAACAAATTCAATTAATTTCGTTGTGGCAGCATCAGGCGGGGCAAATTGAATTACCAAATGGGCCGGATTTGGCCCGCAGTCCGTAGTTTGTTTATGTCATCGCCATAAACTCAAATCGTTTTCTTATTACAGTATGTGGATATTTGTATGTGACTTTATCACATAAGGTGATGAACTGTGTGCTTGAGTGCCTTTGCTCATAACAAAACTCTAAATACCTACTTTACGCAAGGAGTTACCATAACGATTTACTCCGGTTCGGACCGTCTGATAGATATAGTCTTTAAAATGGATGAATATTTTTTCTCAATCACCACTTGAATTCCCCCTTTTAAATAGTGGATATTGAGTTCTTCGCTGTAGAGACTCTATTTTGCTAAAAGTTACTAAGACATAGGTTCTAAAAGTAAAGTGCTCCATACGGAGAATCAGGGTTATGTGAGCTATTCGTTTACTTATTAAAATACTGACTTGGTTAATTTTGTAACTGTACAAAGAAGCAATAACAGCATTAATAAAATTTGACAGCAGTCGCTCCAAAATCGCTTTATATCTAAGTTTTAATAAATAATACCATATTTAAATGGTCGCTTTGTTGCCACATTTCGACACTACTTTATTAATATGTTTGCTACGGTGACCGTACATTTGAACCCATGTACATTTGAACCCATGCGTATATCCACGGGTTCAATCTATATGCGGGTGCTAAAACCCATGGGTTAGGGTAAATATGGGTATAACTATCCGTGAAACAAAAAAATTCCATAGGTGCAATAGCATACAGGTGCAATTGTCATGGGTTCAAATGTACGTGGGTTCAAATGTAATGGAGCCGTTTGCTACATGTCAAATTCACAGCGTCAATATAATTTATTTGTGGAATTTAGATTTATTTCTAGCTTGTATTTACCTTATTAAGAAAGATTTAGTATTTTAATTATTTCTAATTTTCTTTCTATAATACAAAAAAATTATTGTAGGGCTCCGTAAATAATAGTCAACCTTTTCACGGGATCCCTAACACCAAAAGTTTGAGAACAGGTGATCTTGGAAATACAGAATTGCTTTAGTTGAAAACTAACTCAAATGTTCGCCATTTTTTTGAAGGTTGCCGATCGTGATGGTAAAGGCATTCTTGAATGGGATTCGTTTATTCGACTTGCGAAACAATCACTGAGATCAGCTGGAAATCCTGACGACGAATTGCTCGAAGCTTTCAGGAGATTTGACAAATTCGGATCTGGTCAGTAATTAAAAATCTACATAAATGGAGAGGTGAAGAAGCCCTTAAGTTCTAGATTCAGATTCAAAGTTTCAGATACAAACACTAACTCATTATGTCACGTACTTTAATGTCTGTGTTTTTGTTGGGTTTCTATTTTTTTTTATATTTCTATATCTGCTTATTTCGCAGACCCTTGATTTGGGCAGTTTTGACCGGTTTTCGACTCCGATCACCAATGAGGTGTGAGAGGAAATACTTTTCGCTCGCTGGGCTGAAGGTCGGCTTCGTTTTGTTGTGTTCTATATATATTGTGGTCGTTCGAAAGTGGTAATTAAATTGTGTAGTTGCCGTACAATAAACAACCAATCCGGAATCCTTGAGTCTTCTGACTTATTTTCGACCACAGTAGCAAGAACTAGACTGGGTAGCGTTCACTGACTATAATGGGTAGCGTTCCTGGTTAAATTAGGTCCATTCGTATCATGTCGTTCGATATCTTTTTATACATTTTAACGTATAAAAGAGTGTCATTAATTTATTCCATGAAATCATATGAACAAAATATAAGCTGTTCACTTGATTATTCCATTGTTGCCTGTTTTAAATAGGCGAACGCATTGTTTCACTTGAAAATGGTGCTGTTTTAGCATGAATATTTCAAGATTTTTTTGTTCGAAGAATAAGAGGATGCAATTTAGAGAGAATACTGTGGAAATGGGTTAAAAATTCTAATAGATTCTGTTCTCGCAAAATTACATTCGCGCAAGCATCTTCTTACATTATGACTATTCCCACAAGTTTTTTTTCATTACGACTTCCTGTCCACAGTCGAATGTGGGTTGGCGTTGAACAAATACGAATTTTTGTTATTAATTTCACATTGCAACATAGCATTTTGAAATGCTAAATGCTTCCGGTATAGTCATAATGGAGGAAATTCTTCGACTTTAGTACTTTGACTCGGCATCCAAAAATGATTGCAAAAAAAAAAAACGGAACAAAAATGTTTCTCAAAAATATTATTTTCATTCAACCGAAAATCCTATTATATTGTAACGGCCAATAAAAAAAACTCTATATTTTCATTTTTTTTTCTACAGGTCAGTTAGAAAGTTCTGAAATTCGTGAAGTACTGACTACACTCGGAGATGTTTTATCACCAGACGAAGTTGATGAATTGATAACAGATGCTGATATATTAGGAACAGGGAAAATTAACTATGAGTCTCTATGTAGAATGCTTATATATGGTCCAGATTAAGGAAGTATATAACTTTAAATTATTTAATTAAATCTAAAATGCTTTATTCTGCTTGCTTTTGGTATATTATCCAAGCACTACAGATCAAAAATGCTTCTTCATCCAAATAACTATGCTTATGTTATTTTATTGGTCTTTATCGTTAGATTTTATGTCATAAATATGTCTGCTCTCTACTGTAGGATTGAAATATCGAAGGTACTTCTCCTTTCTCTTTATACCAGGGGTGTGCATATTTGGGGGGCCGCAAGAAAATATTATACAGCCTGCGGGTGAGTGCCAATTTTGAATGGTGTGCCGCCCGCGAAAAAAGTTTTCAATTTAGTTGAATCTGGTACTTGCGAATAATTCCAATTCCTCTTCGTTGCAAAGCCTATACCTGAGCCCATTTCATTAGTTATGTCAATGACTTCACAATGCTTTTTGTACTGGCAACCACTAGACAGCCTATGTCAAATATAGGTGCGGCCCGCGGTTTTATCCAGTTATTTGTATCTGGCCCTCCTGTATTAAAGGTTTCACACTCATGCTTTACACTATTGGATCCATATGTACTTAGTGGATACTATAGCAAGAAACAATAGGCGAAATGTATATTTTTTTTACAAAGTATATATTTTATGTTTACCCTTTTTTCTCTCTTCTAATTTTATTTTGTCTGGGTGATTGCAATTAATTTAGTCCTCTTTAGTGAGCGGACACATACCCCTTCTTTTAACAACACCTTTCAATCTAAATTCTGTTCATTTATAACCTTGCTCAAGGTTTTGTACGCTCTCCTGATTCTGTAATCAGTTTTATTTGTTTTTATTAATTACCTTATCGTTTTTCATGCTAATTATCAAGTCAAAATAAACTTATATCCATACTTCGAAATTTAAGAGAACCAGAGCTGAACAATTTATTATTCTTCTTAGCCCGAGAAAATTTTGTTTGAAAAGAAAAATGTTTTATTTGAAAAAAACGTTGAAAATACGTGTTCATAATAAGGATATGTGAACAATAAAGAAATGTAAATATCCAAAATAAGGCGGTCAAGATCAAATCGAACAAATATTTTGATTTTTAATCTGCTTCACGCCCCCTCAAAAATTGTTTGCACCCTACCGTTGAGAACCATTGTTTCATATTAATGATTATTCAAATATTCTTTACAAAGCTTGTTATATCATTTAAAAATATTACTATATCGAGTTTAAAATTGTGATTGAGTAATTTGCATAATAAAATTTATTTTAATAATTGTTGTCGGGATACTTGATAATTACAGGCGGAAGTGCAAAGATTTTCGAACTCCATCATACAACTGCCTATATTACGATATCTTTTTAGAAATGAAGCTCAAATCACAGAGATTAACACATTTTGGCGACCTAACTTCGATTATTAGTCGGATAATATTAGAAATTACCAGAGAGCGAAAGCGTATGCAAGTCTGTGATCAGATCATTTTGTTGCCCTACTGTACATGCTGGAGGATATACAGCCCAATCTGCAAAAAGGCGCTTTTTCACAACAACAATAACAACAATTCATCAAAAACTTCATCCATAGGTCCATTTCGTGTCCAAAAATAGGAGAACAATATGACAAGGTGTCACACACAGATATATTGTGCCTTTGTGGTTGTTAGGGATGGGAATTTCAAGGAAAACAGTTTAACCGTTAATCGGGTAAATTTAACCGGTTAACCGTAGCGTGACGTTTGACGTAAACGGTTCTAGCTTGTTAGTCACAATGGTTACAAAGCAATTTCGCGTGATGTTATCCGGGAAGAAATGGTACATTATAAAGATGATTTATATATATCTAAAATGCCCTTTAGCGGATAACATGAATCGTAATTATTAACCATCTAAAATCGGTTAAACGATTAACCATTCTCAGCCCTATTGAACGTCGATTAGGCGTGGTTTTGATGTTATTTTTTCATGGTAATTGACTCATATATGACAACAGAGCGCCACCGAACGAATGCGCACTCCTCTAACTGGAATCTGTATGGTCATGTTATCAAACTGGCGAGGGGCGAAGTACTTGGATTCAATTCGAATTTTATTTTAAGTATTTCTACTTTGCATATTTTGCGTTGTGAGTGTACGGTTTAAGGTGCGGCTAAAATTCGAGTGTGGAAAGTCGGCAGGCTACCTAAAACGTCAATAATGCTGAGGTGCACAGGTATAGGTCCGCTCCGTCATCGAGCGTTGAAACCTAATTTGACGGTCGTTAGTTAAAGTTAGTCGTTGAGGTTTACTCCATTGGTTTGATAGTAGGATCCTCTGTATAAAGCCCCTCCAAAAACAAAAACCGCCAACGCTAAAAATAAGAAAATTACTAAGTATACAGTTAGGATTTGGGTTAGGTATACAGATTGCGCTGGGAAATCGAATTTTCAAATCATTCCTGACCGTAACTGGATAATTATTAATATTTTATTTTAAAACTTGACGGGGGGTGTTTTCCTCAAATCTCACATTCTTGCGTTAGTGGCGGGGGTTTTGTACAAAGATCTCGGTAGTATATTTGAGTGACAGTTCAAAACATAACAAGTAGAAGATTTGTTTGGCAAGGATTCAATCACAGCTGTCATTAGCGTCTTGTGGCTGGTCATAAGTGTTGCCGAGCGTCGCCCGGCTAGCTCAGTCGGTAGAGCGTTGGACTCTTAATCCAACGGTCGTGGGTTCGAGCCCCACGTTGGGCGAACTTTTAAGTCCAGGTGGCACTGAACATTCAATAACTTTCGCTCATTAACATCGTCAGTTTTGTCTATATAATCTACAATGCAAATATTCACGCGAGACACGATTTATGTATTTCTTAAAAATGCTGCATTTTCAAAAAGCGGCACTGGTTTCTTAACTCTATTCATCGCCGCGGTATTTCTATGTCATTCTAGCCCTGTTTCTCAATATGGTGCAGCCCCTCTTTGGTCGATGCTTATTTTCCATTAGGTACCAGACAATATCATTTTCATCCCAGTTAGACAGTTCATTCATAAAGATAGTTTATTCCGGAAAATCTATATTCTATATGAAGAGTTCTGGAGAGCTAGCAAAACCTTTAAAAAAGGTTTAAAGCGTGAAAAATGTCACGTACACGCTCGCCAGCACAAACACAAGAAAGAATAACAAAAAAACACAAACCTAACAATATGAATTTCTAACCCTAACTGGATAATTACTAATTTTCTTATTCTGAACGTTTGCGGGGGGTGTTTTTGTCGTGGGCTTTGTACAAAAGATCCCCGCTCTGTAGCTGCAACTTTTTGCATAAACAATCACGTTTCGCAGATCTCTTTATAATTGCGACGTCATAATGGACATTATCTAATTATCTGTTGCATTGGTTGCGCAATAATGCTGACTTTCTACAACGTCCCGGCGAAGAAGATTAAGAGTTAACTCTCTACTCTCCGGGCATAATCGTATAATTTTGACATGTTAATTACTCGGGAGAAAGTCCAGATGTACAAAGAGGGTTATTTTGTGAACGTTGGATTGAACAACAGTTTTAGATGGTCAGAATCATAACGTGATATAATATTTAATAAAAACAAATCAGAAGTGTTCACTTTACATATCTAAACATTAGTTTCTCTGTTGTTATATATGGGAAAACTGCAACGTGAGGTCGCAAGTGAACACCACTAAGAAATCACTTTAAAATGTCGGACAAATTGCGGTGTTTGTTATTGTAAACTCTCAAATGGAAAGCCGATGTCAAGGAAAATTAGTTCAATTCAATGTGAAGTGCGTTATCGAAAAATTTCCTTCATTTTGAAGATGTGTATGAGGTGGTGAGGACTAGTCAGTAGGCTATACTGTGGGGCATCGAATATGCAGCAGATAGATTTTGATTGGAGTTTTAAAAATATTGATAATTAGGATTTCAACATGTGTTTTAGTATTCGGGGGAACATGAATCATTTTCTTCAGTATATTATATGTTAAGTATACGCGTGCCCATATATTTTTCAGCGATAATTCATACTTCCACGTCGTAAACAGACGCGAAGACATGAAAACCGTACCAGGTAAAAACAGCAATTTCTTTTTGACGCTAGGCTCAGTGGTGGGATTCAGCCGGTTCGCACCGGTTTTATATAATATTATGAGATCAGCGAACAGGTTAGCATTACTAAAAAAACATATAACAGAACCGGCCGAAAAATATGACTTCTGTGATGGAACCGGCTGACAAAAAATTTGAATCCCACCACTGGCTAGGCTTATGTATTTCTTGTAAGCTATGTTCAGCATTGTTAGGTCGAACATTGGGAAACATACTCGATGAAGCAAGAATTTTGACTTAGTCAGTAGAGCCACCCTCACCTTTGGGACAACATCGTTACATTATACGCATACAGATCCAACAGTGAAAAATACAGAATAAGGAAGGATAGTTAGGTAATTTCGCAATTCCAAAATAACAGTAGACTACCTACCCCATGTTTGAGTAACTAAATTTGTATTTTACTTATTTTACCACCAGAATGGCGCCTTATCCAAATGAAATAGTCTTAGGTAATAATTTGCAGTCATTCGGGATGCATAAATCCTTTTTGTCGCATTATAATGGAACTGTCGCGAAGAATAGCCACCACTCAATGAAAAGAGAAAGACCAGCGTTTCAGATACCTAATAAGACACAGTACATTTATGGTAAGATTTGTTATTTTTGTTAATTTAGTAAAGTTGCATCTGCCGATGGGACTTCATCTTTAGGCTCCACGTCTGTTTTTATCGCTTATTTTTCTCTTCTTCTCTTATTGTTTTCAAAACCCGACGACATAATTCACACTGTGACGTCAAAAATCTAAATTATGACGCAGTAACACACCAGGAATAAGTCCTTTCTCGTAACGTATTTGACACACTCAAGTGTATGATGTCAAACGGGCGATTTAGAGATGTGTTGAGGTATATAATAATCATAATTGAATATTCTAACACAAAAATACATTGAGCGATACAAGCGAAACATGACAAAGTGAACACGACTAATTGCCATTAGCGCAAATTCTGATTAGAAAGCATGATATACATGTGCACACTTCAGGTCGTACACGTGTCCGCGACGGGTGTCTTTTTCGTTGGGAATAGATATGGATGTATGGCCCCGTTTACATACGATAAATATTATGCTGTTCATATTCCCTTCCGGTCTCCAGTCCATGTTAAGTATAAACTTTTTTTCGTGCCACACCTATTTACGCCACTCGCTACGAACAATGCCCTGTACGAGCAGACTCAGATATCTGATGATATGTAGGGAGCTGCCAGGATTTGAATCCGATTCCATACCGTCCTTATTTTAAAGTTTGTTCTTATTTTTAGCTTGCGTCCGTATTTTTGGCTTGCGTGTCCTTATTTTGTCTTATTTGGACTTCATAAAAGAAGCTTTGTGTTGTTTATCTTACCGCCAAAGCTATATTGTGGCATCATAAATGCAACACAATCTTATTTGGAACACAAAGAGCAAGGCACAGATAGGCATGAAGCGTTGTTAGTGTGGCGATCCTTGGGTTTTGTCGTGGTGGTGGTTATTTTAACCTAAATTTAAAAATGAGCAAACTTAAAAACGTTTTTCGTGAGTACGGGAAAGAATTCAAAGTTAAACGAAGCTCGAAGGGTGAGTGCTTTGCACACTGTGACGTCTGTAATTGTGACATTAACCTGGAGCCCATAGGAAAGCCAGCTATTTTTGCTCACAATGCAGAAATTCTTCCAGTCGTCCTTATTTTGGGTTCCAGATCGATGGAATCCCTGCTTATAGTATAAGGCTTTAAGCGCTAGGCCACAGCGTCGCGATTATATTTTACGTCGTAGCATCACAACTAAAATTGCGCAAATTACTATGGAATCTATTGCATAATATAGCCATTATGATCTGTGCAACTGTCGACCGAGGTCCTAATTAGTCCTAATTGCCCCCTTAGAAGCGATACAGGATTATAGTAATTAACGGTGCACACTTTTTGCAATGCATATTCCATGGCTAACTAAGCTCATGCCCGGCATTGACTGGTAACTAAGTTGGAGGCCGTGGTTCGCCATATGATTAAGGCGTATTATCACCTTTCCTCTCCCCCGGGATAAATATGTAAATTCTTCAAAGTTCTAAAAATTAGATGCAGCGCGATCGAAGAAAGCTATTGGAACTCTTTGAAACAATAAAATGATGTTGTGGTGGGCATGAGTATAAAAATCTCAAACTATACCGATATCCAGGCCAACACATTCCAAATGCACCCAAACGGTTATAATTTGTGTTTTCTTGGATTTGAGTCTATTGTTCATATATATAGTTCTGGTTCAAATACAGCTTTGACTGATTCGGGTCGAAAACGTACCTGATTAAGCACGAGTCGAAACGCTTAGCCTGATTTTATCAGCGCTGAGAAATTTTTTTTATCTTATTACACTCATGTATTGCGTCACTTGCGTGTATTCAATAATAGATTGGCTTATGTTCAAATTTGTAGGTTGTTATTGGGTTTTAAAATCAATATCACGTTACACCATTTTCTTTCTGTAACGTCCACTTTCTGCTTCTGAGTAAGCATATGGTCTTGTTTTGCTTGAAACGTTCGTTAACATGGATTGGATTTTTCCTGAACAGGTCATTATTAACTTAATTTTTTAAAAGCAATTTTGATGTGCTTTTTTCACTTTATACTTACCCTGCAAAATTTTTTTTCTCGAATAGTTCCGTTGTTTGAGATTCGTATTCACTGCGATGCCGCCAGTGCGCTTTATAGTAGATTCATGATTTGCTTCCTGACATAACTACAACTGTATATGGTGAACATCTGTCTCTTATCTTCATATATATATACATTTGGTTGTTATATCTGATTTGATTTTACGTTTATAAAGTCTAAATGAAAAGTTAAAAACTAGTTTTTTTTGTTGGCATTGTGTTTTTTATTCAGCAGATATCTTTTGTTATAAAGTTTTGATATAATAGTCTTTAATAGATTTATGTTAAGAAGAATTGACCATTGAAATTGAGAAAACTCCCGTGTGTTTGAAACAAATTTGATTCAAAATTAAACTCATTTAATTATCCGATCATCTAGTGAAAGATGAAAAAAAATAACTTCCTGACAAGTGTGAGTCATCCGGTCGTGAAAATAAAAGTATTAAAATAATAAAAAATGAAAGAGAAATTATTCTGTTTTCATCTCTGTAGCGTTTTGTTACATTATTAAACAGAAGTATCTTGTCATTTTCAATTATGTCCATCAATTTCGAAGCATGATTCATCATATTTGAAAAAATATAGTATGGTTACTTTGTTTTTAGAGTAAATATATCCTTCTACCTTACACATGCCCGAAGTTGAAATATAAGTTTGTACCATGCGTGGTTTGATGTTGATCTTCTCAGATTCTTATATTTTCATCTGTTCGTTCCATTGGCGGTATTTCTTTCCATATTTATACTAACTTACTTTGTAAAATACGTAAATTTGCGTCAATTTTAACTTGTGGAAAGGAAATAGCCGTATGGTAATTCATAACGTTCGGTCGACGTGAGTAGGATAATAAAAAGAGAGAAACATGGTACGGGAGGTCAGAAAATAACTTAAAGAAACAAAGCGAGAACCGGCGATCAAAGGACGTCGGTTCAAACGAGGGCGTTCTGGCGAACGAACCCGTTTGAACCTCGCTTGAGGTCTCTTGCTGCATTCTCGTCGCATAATAGCGAAGAAATTCAACGGTTTATGACGACATAATGCTAATTCAACGGCGAGGGAATGGAGAGTCACATGCAATGGCGATAATGCCGAGGATAGATATAGATTTTGGCTTTATTTAAAAGTTTAGTATGTAAGAAAGCAAAAGTTATCCATAATTTAGTGTTTGAGTATCTTACAATGAAGTTAGCACTATTTAATTGTGGGATAAGATTCATAATAAAAAAAAATACCGGCACTGTGATGTTCGAAGTCTTCGTCAGGCGAATACAAAAATTTGTTTAGTAGATTCTTTACTTTCAGATTTTCAGCAATCTTAAAAATTCGAGACAAGTAGGCTATTTTGATGCAATTAAGCCTTGAATATAAAAAGAAGTTGTACCGGTGTAGATTATTCTCGCGCACGAGTGTTACTTAGCGTTTTACCTATTTAAAGATTAAATCTAAAAATAGATGTTTTAGACTAGATTGTTCAATCAAGCTTTGCGTAATTAAATGACTTCCTTAGGCGCGCAGTGAGAAAAAATAGTTTATGCTGTTCTAGGGTAGTTTTAATTCAATAAAGTCACTTATCTATGTCCAAATATGGCTACGGTATATATTTTCCGAACTGAGGATTTGTAATGATGTATGGACAATATAAATTTTTAGGACTAAATTTCAAGTTCACACCTACCGCGGGGAAAAGCCGGATCGATTTATCCACCCTAAAACAAGTTTTGGCGTCGATATTAGCGAGTCGCGACGGTCTGCATCCAGGTTCGCGAAAAGTTAATTTTCCCGTACTCGCGCTATTCGGAATTCCCATCCACGGATGTTTTCCGTTATAGTGATGCCATGAAGTCCTTCAAGTCACATGTGGTCAATGTGTAGCCCAAGCTATTTTACATATAACTCATAATTGCGTGCTTGCGGTTACACGTAACACACGCAACTTTCATATTATTGCCGGTACCAGTACTCTATTTGCTGCAGTACCGGTACTCGCGCCTTTTCCACATAATTAAGCTGTCTTGGCGGCTTTCCTCTCTCCCAGGATAAATGCGGAAATATTCCTAATTCTTGGTTTGGCAAAACTTGCACAAAAATTCTTGCTTTTTCATATCTTATGTCATCATTGAAATGTCAAAAGCAATCAATAGTTTGGATCGATATATAAACATTGCATAATCTCTTCCTATTCGGGTAATTGATGATAGGTAAGTATACACAAACATCCTTTTCGTCCCTAGAAAACAGAAATGCTTATCATTATTATCATAATCCGAATGATCATTATTATTTTTCTGTTATTGAATACAAGAAATGCAGCAATGTGCAGGAATTCTTTTATATTCAAACGGGCCACTTGGTGTAAGGTTGTTCATTATCCCAAAAATATGAATATATGCTAATATATTCTGTTCAAATAATCGTACAATGTTTCCTGTTTATCTCGTAAGAGAGGAAAGCCGATAAGATAATTGATACAGACTAATAAACGCGTATACAAAGTTTTAAATTTGCAAATCATGAAATATGGCTAAAAGATCTTGATTTCAGATTTGTTTTCAGTCGTTAATTATTCATTTATTAAAATGAAAATTATGAATAAAGAGAGTGTTTTTGCGTTATTTTCAATTTCCTAGTCGCATATTCGTTTCTTTTTTATTTATTTATTAGAGTAAAAATTTGAATATGAGTAGCTATTTTGGAAGCTTCGAGTCAAATATTCGTTCTTTTTCATTTTGTGTATTTTTATTTGGATCTTTTATTTTGCAAATATAAATTGTACCATATAATCTATTACTGCCGACTTTTTCCCGCGTGGATTCGATTGAATCATGCCCAGCGCATCCAACCCTTAAGCTAACTTTCGGCGTTAAGTACCACCAGCCACAGATGGTCGTTTATGTTTTCTTTTTCAAATACTGGCAACACCCCGAGTGACCATCAGCGATCGCCTCAATGAACTATTACG